ATTTTTAAGAAAAAACGGCTCTCTTCGTGTGATATTGATTAATTATATGAATCGATATAAATATATACATTTTCTGCCCCTATATCTTCAATTTTGTGATCATTCTAAATGCATTTTAACAGACTAAATCACGCAGTGAAAGAACACACTCTAAATGCGCGCGCACTAGTTTATTCTACTAGACTTCAAGGCACTCTTGTAGGAGTGTTTTGTTTGTTTTTTGGCAAAATACTGATAATGTCAAATCGCACATTGTTAAAACAACAATTACGATATTATCGCAGACGATATATATCGCACACCCCTACAACAGACAACTCAAATTGAAGAGCAAATGTTTTCTCATTCTTAAAGAGGTCATATGATGTTGCTAAAAAGAACATTATTTTGTGTATTTGGTGTAATGAAATGTGTTCCTATCGCTTGTAGTGGGTTTCTCTCAGTAGAGCGCGGGAAGTGAGATGGAAAACCTGGACTGGATAACATCCACTGATTGCAGTACTCTAAGCAGGGACGGGAAATCGCCGAGTCTGTTCCACTCAAAAGGGATTCCACACCGGCTTTTAGTCTGTGCGACACATTTATCTGGGCGGTTTGGCTTATTTGAAACATTTTTCTTCGTTGGAGAGAGACAAACTATAGGAACTGGTTAATTGTTATCTGAAATGAAAATTACTCGATAGCGGTTACTTGTTTATGGACTTAAGTGCAACAGCACTCTCGCTCAAGTGATGTTACTTCAACATCCATTCTTCCGCATGACACAGCTTGACGTTTGGCTTATTTGAAACATTTTTCATAGGCTATGTGGAGACCAAACATACATACAAACTGGCTAATTACTGTCTGAAATGTAAATTACTCGACACAAATTACTTGTTTACAGACTTAAGTACGACAACACTCGTGCTCATTAAACATCCATTCTTCCACGCAGATTACGCACGAGAGACCCCACCTCCTCTGCTCCGGTGTGCACAGCGTTGCTCTCATCCCAGTGGCCCCAGGAACCCGACACGATCTGTGATGAAATCAGTGTAACACAACCAGCTGTTCATATGTCATCTCGAATTTAGCCGACATCTGACATGTATGCTCATGTATCATCTCTTACTCAGGCACATCTGGTCACTTCGCAGCGCATCCGAGCAGCAGGGTGAAGGACAGCCGCTGCGCTCCCTCCGCCCTCAATCACCCTCCGCTATTGGCCAGCGCGGCTTCATTAGCTCACTCACTCAGCGCGCGGATGAGAGAGATTCACGCAGAACTTCGGGTTTATGGCTACGGGAGGGACCTGTTACTGAAGTCATGGGAACGCACGGCACATGCATGAGAGCGGTACATGTGAGCGGCTCCCCGGTTTAGTTGGGGACGCGGGAGAGAAGCGCAGTAATGATGGGACGCTTTGGGAAGAAGGGACGGTACTCCTGCTTTGGCTTCCTTGCGGTCCTGGTTCTCCTGCTGCCCTATGCGATGGCTAGAGGTAAGAGAACTTAACTGTTTACGCAAGCCTAACGATAGACTTTCCCCCCACATTTAGCCGTTTTGGAGAGTTCGTGGACTCTGAATCTTCGCTGTATGAATGAATACGAATGCACTGAGCGATGCTCAATAATGACAGTATATTAGGGTTTTCCCATGCAAGGCACGACTGTTCCACTATCAGTGGGGCTTTGCTATGAAGCATGTGTAGTAGGTGCTAATTCGCGTAAAACTACCTACACGCATGTAAAAGTAATGCGTTTCAATCCCGTCACTGTGCCAAACGCTTTAATAGGCAGAAGCGACAATAGATAGAAGCGAGTGCTAGTGCACAAAAACATTTGCGCGCGACGTATTTTGTAAATGTCTGCAAAAACATGAAATGCTCAGCAGTCTCCACTGGAAACCTTGTCATCAATTCAGTTTGCATGAAGCTTGTGTTTATTGGAGTGAGAATGTCAAGCGTGCGTGCCATGAGGTGCGCAGCGCAACAGGCACAAAAGGCGGCTTTCCATCAGATTCTGACGCTTGTTCTTCAGCCGTCGTGTTCTTGATTGAAAATCGCGTAACACTTTTAATTACAGAGTACACGTTATTTATTTATTATTGCTTAAATTACAAGCAGCTGCATAAAATACCTGTGAATTATGTGCGTACTTAAGTACGCCGTATTTTAAATGTACTTTTACTTTAAAATATTACAGATTTGGAAGTAAGAAGTCACTTTGAGCTTTAAGCATTAGTATTTATTTATTTAGTGATGTTATCATTATTTTAGTGTCATATGTGTCTATTTTGTGGTATTTTGTGTGAATAACACTGTGGTTCATGGGAATTTTACTAATCAGGTGACATTTTATCTCTTGTATTATTTTTTATTATTGTGGTTGACAGTACATTTTAAGTTATGAAGCAGATTTGAGTTGTTGAGGTAGGTTGGCATATTAGCATTAAACACACACACACACACACATTTGTTTTTGTGAATTGTGAGGACTTTCCATATACTTCTATTACTTTTATACTGAACAAACGATATTTTCTATCCCTTAACCCTAAACCTACCCCTTACAGAAAACATGTTTGCATTGTTACACTTTCAGATAAACATCAGACACACACACACACACATTTACAATTGCAGACTATAAAATATATCATAATGAAGAGATTCTGATAACAGCTGCCAGTTTTTTCTTTGCTGTATTTTGAACAGGATTGTTTTTACATTGTATGAACATTGTATTTGAAATTGTGACTGAAAATAACATGTTGGTGTCGTGTCCATAGATTTCCTTTTTAAATGATAAATTCTGCACTTTTATCAAAGATTAATGTTGCATGTAAGCGAAAGCAGAAGCAAGGCAGCAATTATCTTATGTTAAGAGTCATTGATGCTTAGCAAAGAGGTGGGCAGGGCACAGAGACTCTGAATACAATAACTATCATTAAGATGTTCAACCAAGATAGATTAATTGGATGTTTATAAACAAGTGTCCAATTAGAATTTTGTTAATTGCCAGTGTGTTTTATGTGTTTTACACTATTATGTGTGGTGTCTGAAATGTAAAGCATTTAAAAAGAAACCTGATGCTGTGGAGTGGGCAATTTGAGGTTGATGGTCTTGTTATCAGTCAGGAGTGCTGTTATTACCTGAGGCACCCCTAAGGGCCACTTTTGAGATCCGCTTTGTGTATCTGTTCATAGAGGCTGGCTAAGAGATTGTCTTAGCTGTTTTCTCTCGGGGTTTATTTCTGTGAAATGGTGATTTTAGTTCATCATCCATTAATATGCTGATTTGGGTGATTTATTAAGATAAGGGACACTTAAAGTGTTAAATCTTAAAGTTAAGTCTTCAATTATGAATCTGCATCAGATTTTGTTAATCGATTGATATAGAATGCTCTTTCTCACTATGCAATAAAAAGTCCTCTGATGTTTGCTGCTGCGCAACATCTGACCTCCTGATTCTATCGTCCCTTATTATAAACTATTTGCAAGTCTATTAGCAAATTAGCCCTCGGGATTTGATCCTCCTTCTTTCCTTAAACTATGGAAATCAGCTCAAACCGGCCTAACATTCATAATTAATGAGTTCTCCTCACCAGCAGAAGGTACCTTAAGAAGGTATTGCATAAGATATATCCGTTCCTCTCTGAGATATCGCTTTGTTGGTTCGTTGGGAGAATTCATTAATATGCAAATGAAACCGTGTCATTAAAATATCCAATCATCTGTCATGTTCACTTACACCGCCTCAAGCGCTGACATCATCTATTGTTTCACATCAGAAATGCTCTGCACCTGTCAGAAGGAAGTTGTTATTGAAAACCATAAACAAACCCAAACTATTACAGCGTTTGCCACATTGCCTGTGGTCAGAGCGTTAAATGTAATTTTCCTTTAATGTATTGTAGGTTTTGTTTTCATAAAGTTGATGTGAGACACAGAATGGAAATGTAGCCCTGGGCAGCAGTAGATGGAGATGTAACTGTGCCCGATTCAGTGATAGAGGCGCACATGATAATGAGCTCGAGTAGCTTTTGAAGTCTCCAGAGAGGTTCTCTGATGGCATGAGTTATGAATAAAGGCAGCGCATTCCATCTGAACATAAGCAATGTTTAATTTATCATTCGGTATCGTTAGACCTACTTTCACTCACAGTAGTCACTTTTTGACATCTACGCACGTATGAAGGAGAACCGTGATGTGAATCTGCAACATGGGACATGACTCAGTTTTTTTTTATGCATCAATATGACATAAGTATATTCATTAATAGAATATTAGACTACTCACAAGATGTCTGTTAACGTTGATGCATTGCAGTGTCCACAAGTATCTCGTACTGTAACCACAAGGCATACATTTCCCAGAATGCATCAGTGATGTCCCCAGAGAAATGTTTGGAGCCTGTCCATGTTGTGAGAACTTGTCATGAACCTGGTTGGTGGAGAGTATTTATGAGAGCGAGAGAGATGCAGGTCTGCTCATCCTCAGGGACCAGGAGCAGATCTGGATCAGAAGATGCTTGCTAGGATGATGGAATCCTCTTGTCATTTGCCATAGCTGTAACATGGAACGCCAGCCTTTGTGCTTTTCAGTAAAGGCTAAGAAGCTTTTTTTTGCTGTGCGGTGTTTATGCATATGTGCGAACAGGTGTTTATGTGTAATTTCCCTCAGAGGTTTGTGATTTGCTGTATAATCCGTATGTGCAGCATTCACCGCTAAAACCCAACAAAGGTCACGTTTAATCTTTCAAGCACTCATCAATTTGTCAAAAGGAGGGAGGATCTTTGTAAACGCATGCATTTTCAATAACAAGAGGGCAGCGGGGGTAGATCCTGGGGGAGGCTGAGTTTGGAGATTTTTGTGTTCGCTTGCATCATTTTCTTGTGAGTGCTTGGGGGTGGAATTAGATGTTGTATTTTTGGTGATGCTCATCCCAACACTCTATACTGTCAGACTATGCAGGTGTATCTAAATGCGGGTCCTTAAGCCAGAAGTTTTGGGTACATAAAGTACAGGGTCCAAAATGAACTCTTAATCAGTGCCAAATTTGATGTTGGCTGTTACATGGCTTATCCAATTGGAAGTTTGGTCTGCGTTGACAAAAGTGATGTGATTCAAATCAAACACTGTATAGAAAACCTAACTGACTGCTACATCTTGTGTCTTCTGACAGCTTTTACTTCAGCTGAACATTTTCCATCTGTTGTTTATCTCGCATGCCTAAAGATTTTCCTTCAGGACTCCATGTGGTGACACATATGTGGAATATTCCTCACATTAAGCCACTAAAATGGAAATATGAGGAGCAAAATAACAATGTATCTTCATGTTTTTAGGTCCATTGCAGTTTCACTGTTCTACAGAAACTGACTCATCTAGGGTGACACAGTGACCTGTGCTGCTTGTTGGTAGTATTGAAGGAAAAACTGCTAAATAATTCCATTATTTATGGACAAAAAAGGCCCTGGATACATACCAATAACATTATTTCCCTCTTGGGTTGTGGGAGGTTGATGGGCTAAAATAGCAAATTCACTGTGAAAGCATAAAACATGGCCATCTCAAAAACATTACATTGCCTTGCTGTTACATTTAGCCATGTGGATATTTGTAGAAAGTATTGCCACTCAGTTCTCCTGGCATGTGCCCACACTACAGTTCCTTCCCTGAGTGGCCTTGTTTTCCGTTTCTCCATCTTCATTTGTGTCTCCTCAGAGTGCTTTTGAGCGAGTGCTGAATTAAGAACCTTGGAGATTGCTGTCCTTCCTCCACTGACCCTGGGTTTCACCACAAAGGCATAACTCGCACCATTAACCGTGAACTCTCGAGTATGAGTGCTTTCCTTTCTCTTCTTCTGCCCTAACTCTATTTACCCTTTCAGCATGCACACAGACCTCTTCAGGTGCTCTAAATGTTCTGGACTATCCTCCATATTATCATTTCTCCTAGGTGCTCCTTACTTTCTCTTCCTGTAGTGGTTTTCTTATTTTTGTAGTTTTTTTTTTTCTTCTCGAAATAAAGAAGAACTGAACTCTCTTTTATGAGAAAGGAGGGGAAAAAAAGAAGAAAAAAAAGACTATAAATAAGTACAATATACATAGGCAGTAAATTAGGGGAAAGAAGTTTTCAGATGTCACTTTTTTATTATTTCTACACCACCCTGCATCATATGCCAAATCCTGATTATAAGGTTAGAACTAT